ATAAAATATTATTAAAGTAATATCCTGAGCTCTTTTACTGTAAACTATAGTTTATTTTTTGAAAACATATTAATAAAACTGTGAATGGTTTTGCTAGTTTGCTTTAATGAAAATGATGAATACCTGTGTGTACTTTGACTTGAATCATCCAGCTGTCAGCAAGCTGCTCCTCTGTAAAGACTCTTAATCTCAAGAATTCAGTTCCTTATCTTCATGGAACCTGAATCTTTTTGCCATGTCACACTGCAGAGTCTGTCTCTTAACTGAGGCTTTTTGGGAAAAAGTGAGCTGCAATTTAAAAGTGGCACAATTTGATTACTTCTGTGTTCCTGTTCTTTGTCTTTGTGAAATAGCTTTTAATGTTATGGCCTTAAAAATGTCACACCTGGGACTAATGGATTTCTGTTTTAACAGCCTATGAAAATGAAGACCATTTACTTTGGAAACCTGATGTGATCTCAGAAAGTAAAGTTAAAGAATATCTTTTTGAAACCTCCTTAAGAACAGGAAATGAAAAAATGATTGGCAGAAATCCTGAAGGACTACATACAAGGGACAATGAACAAGTATGTGTTGTACCCCATTCCATTTGTGACACATTGCTTTGTAATTAACACGTTCTCTTTCTCTGCCTTGTGCTATAAAGACAGCAATACTCAATTTCTTTATTTTTTTAAATTAGATGTTATGGGAGTCAGGATCTCATTTCTAATTTTAAGCACATGCATAAAATTACAAGTATTTTAATGTCGGCAGTGTTGTGGTCTGTAATGTTTCTGATTGCCGTGCTGTTGACAGCTTTTTTAATAATTGCATATAATGTTTTGCATTATCTTAATGAAACATTGCCTCAACTTTTGGGTGGTTTTGCTTTTGGTTGCTATTTTAAAATTTTCATCATGTTTAAAGATAAATTATCTTTTTTTACATTAGATATGCTCACTAAAAGACTAGTTTTAGAGATCTAGATTGGATATTTGCAAACTTTGACTCTTTCTAAAGACTTTTTCTATTTTACAGGCGCTGTATGAACTTCTTAAAAGTAACCATAATGTTAAAGAAGCAATTGAGAGATACTGCTCAAATGGAAAGGCATCTCAGGGTAAGAAAGCATACCCAGTTTTTCAGAAATGTGTCTTTGGAAAAAAAAAAAAAAAGTTGTGCAGGAAAACCTTCAGTAAGAATCAGATTGATGAGCACATCCCTTTCTATTATGTCATTAGCACAGATTAGGTATAATCTGACTGTTGGCCACTTGGCAGTTCCTGGTAGAGAAGTTTACAACTTGCATAAAGGTTAAGGATCAGCTTTTCACATTCCCTTATTTTCTCCATTGCTTTTAACAATGCCACAGACTGAAGAGAGGGGTGAGGGAGTGGTGATTTTGCTCCCATAAGGCAGTTCTTACCCAGTATCTTTTTGAGATAATGATCAATTATTATCTGATGAAATTTATACCAAAATCAGGACAACGTATCTGGCTACATAAATAAGCCCCACTCTCTTCCTCACTGTGCTAACCTGCTGTGCCAACCCTAAACAGGTTCTACTGTATGGTCCGTAGGTCTTCAGCAGAGCACGGAGAGCTTTGCTTGAGTTGACAGTGGGAAACGAGCTTCCATGAAAATCAGAGTTTTTATCATTTAGCAAAGACAGTTCTTTGTCCTGTATTTTAGCATATATGTTGCATAAAGCAGAACTGGAGTATGAGCCCTGGTATAAATTTATATTCTGACATAATTGCTGCTCAGAACTGGATCCACAGGGAACTTTGGTGTTTACAGGTTAGGTGCTGTGAAAGCTAAGTATCTAAAGTAAAGCTGAAGGGATCAGTAAGGGCAGTGTTCAGAAAGAAGAGATTGTGTAGACCTAAACAAACAAGGAAGTATCAGTTGCAAAGTTGTATCCTAAATCCCACACTGCTCTAGGATTTAGGTTCCTGTTTCAGGAGTGAAAAATACATCTGCCCATTTGTGGTTCAGAGTCCAAAATTCTGTCCTAAGGACTAGTACTCACACTGCCCCAAGGCAGATGAGACTTATACACTCATTAAAAATTGTAAAGGATGACAATACTGTCAGTGCCTATCTCTTAGAATAACCATTATGCTGTGATCTGCTCTACCCTCTGAAGTTCACTGCTGTTCTCAAGATGAGAATTAAAATCCACCACTCCCAAGATAATTCCTTAACAGTGAGACTTTACATGGGGATATTTTTGTCTCTTTGAAGCTTGAGAACTCTGTAGTAAGGAGTGCAAAATTAATGGGGTGAGAAAGAAAGAAAATGGCCTTGCAATGAAATTATTATTACCTTCATCTGGGAGCAGAAAGGTCTTGGTTCCAGTGTATGCTTCCAGAAATGTTTTGAAACATTTCAATGTTTTGAAATGTGAGTTCTTCCCCCCATTGGCTTTAAATGTCAGCTGAACAGAAATTTTATGGGTCACCATTATGAACGTAAGATGCCTGAAATATCCCTTCTTAATTATATATAGACCCAAAGCCAATATCAAGATAGCAAAGCAACAATACTTGAGACAAAACAGACCTATTCAAATAGTTTGAGCTACTTTGTTTTAAAAGTCTTACTCTTTTTTAGTGATTTTTTTGTTGTTTGTAAAGCTAAACTTTAGTTTTAGAAACTGCAGGTTTTATCTTAAAAAAAAAAAAAAAATGCAGTTCCTCCTTAAGAAGTCTGAAAGGATTATTCATGGGATCTTTAGGAGCAGGTGGTTGTTTAGTTGGTTCTGGATTCCCTGATACCCCTTGTTTTTCAAAAGCCTGGAACAGACTAAGTGTAGTCCCAGTGGGTTGGCCCTGTATGGCTACCCGAGGTACGCCTAGCGCTAAGGCTTTCCCCCACAGTTCATTTTGCCTTTTCTGGGGATCCCCTGCCTCACCAGGGGTTTTATGAGATCGGCGAAAGTATCGGGGGTTCTAGGGGGTCTGTCTTACTTGACAGATCCGTCTGCTGTCTGTGTCAGCTCAGGATCACCCTGCTAGTGTCAGTTCATCCCACCCCATTTCTCGACTGTGATTTACAGTGCAGTGCATCCAGTCTGCCCAGGTTGGGATGGGCCAGAGGCAGGGTTGGCCATTCTGACCCTCCTGAGTGTTCTGTTCCATGTTTTGTTTTGTTGTATCCCTTTTTGCAATGAGGTACAATTTTAAAACAGATGAGGCTCCCCTTATTAGTGGTTTAATGGCTTTGGGGTCTACAGGGGCAGAGATCACCGTGTACACCTCTGTCATTCCTAGCCTGAAGGCAGGCTGCTTTTGTAACAGCAGTAAAAAGTTCACTTAGTGATCTTACTGGTATAGCAGTGGGCTCCCCTCTGTCCCAGGGATCTGTGCCTCCAGCTCAATATGCTACTCGGCAGGTAATAGAGTGTGGTTCAGTGTTAGGGGGTGGTCCCTTGCTCAAGAACACTCCTGGCCCCCAAAAGCCATCCTGATCTAACGTAACACAATCTTCTCCAGTTAAGGAGACATGCTGGAGATACTCAGTCCTGCTTTTGCCAGGCTTTCACCCATACTTTTAATGTAGTTTGGCCAGCTGAAGTGGGTTCCATGGAGTAGTCGTCATGGTATTTCTCCAGTTGCCCCACTGAGGTCTGGCACATACCTCTGTTTTAATAATACTCACCACCTTAAATTCTAATTCCTCTAATTAACTCTCATCACTAAGTCCTTCATTAGGGTCCTTCCAGATATTTCTGTCCCAGTCTTCTGGAGAAATGATTAGGTTAATAATTTTTTCAAGATCTGGGCGCAATGGGAGTCTGAATTATCATGAGTTCTAGTTTATCCCCTGCCTTCCTGCATTTTTCTTTTTCCTCCCCCAGCTGTTTAAGCAATCAGTCTATTTGCAGAGGTAACAGCATTTCTTGTCACTTTCCTTGTTCAACCGCATCTTGTAACATTCTCATTTCCTGTTCTTCACATTCCTTATACTGCTATGCAGCTCCTAAATACCTCTTCAACATCTTGTGTATTACTATTACCTCCTCTTTACCATCTTTCAGTTCTCCTCTGATAAGGTTCCACTGTTCTTTTATCTTATTCCAGTTATCCTGCTTTTCATGCACCCAGTTGTCTGAAAATCTCAGTGAAGAGTTAACTCTGTGCCTCCGTTAGTGGTCAGTGATTGAATCCACCATCTTGCCCACTGTGCCACTTTTTATTGCAGTTGAACTACTAAGAAAAGTCATTGCTACAGGGTTAACCAAAATTGTTTTATTAATGATTAAATGATCAAGTCATAAGTAATGAATAATTTGTAATTACATTGTCATTAAGCAGTAATTGAATAGTCATCAAACAGTGACTTAATGATTTAACAGTAATTAATGGCTATTTAGGTAGTGGTCAAGCACTATTACTTACTACCCTTCTAATAATTAAGATATAGCTTGATATGTAAACATGTTGCTAGCACACAATATACTTCCAGGCTTAATGCAAAATGTCACGTACCTTGTTACAGCCATCAGATGCTGGGTAAGAGGCATTTCAGCCCTGAAGGTAACCTTGAGAGGTGTCTCCTGTCAAGGGGAGGTCACTCCCATGCAGCCTGCTGCTCAACAGGAGAGCACAGTGGTCTCAAGGGTCTACAAATATTTATAGCGTAAAGTGACTGACTTGTAGTCAACCCCTGCTTTGGTGTGTGTGCAGCTGTAGCAGGCTTAATTCTGTCCAGTCCCAGCTCAGGCTGGTACTGTTAGCTCCTGATAAGACACAGCCTAGACTCCTTAGTTCCTGAGAAGGTATGCCGAAGCACAGTTCTCACAGTTTGCACAGCAGGGCTGGTCTCAGTCAGGCCTTCTTGTTGGTGATGCCTGAATCAAAGTACTGCTCACTCACTCAGAGCGGGGCCGTCCATCACCTCAGGCTGGTCCTTCACTCTTTTTTCCAGCAACGATGGTTCTTTGTATCCTGTGTGAGAAGATATACTCAGAAAATTTCTCACTTACACCTCAATGATGTTATCAAACCTCAGTTTTTTGACAATTAACTTAAGACATAATAAACCAAATCTTTGGAATGTCCTTTGCCCTAAAGGATAAAATGTTTCAGAAGTTAAACTCTTTTGTGAGTCTTTATAAAGAAGAACGTTAGGTTTCAGGTAGGATATCTGTACAGTAGAGGAAAGAACATGGAGCTAAATAACTGAACTGTTGGGGTTTTTAGAATGCATTTGGATATTCGTCCATTAGCAACAAATATTCTTTGTAAGAGGTTAGTGAGTGAAATCAAGTTTGTCATGCTACTTTTGTAATTGTCTAGAAGAGATGACAGCATGGACAGAGGAAGAATGCAGAAGCTTTGAACATGCACTTCTGATTTATGGAAAAGACTTTCATCTCATACAGAAAAACAAGGTTAGTATTTTACAGTTGAACAGAAGAATTGGTAGATGATACAACGCTGAAAATGTGTAAAAGCAATACATTTGTCAGAAGCCGTGCAGAAGGGTGAAATAAGAACCAACATAGTAAAACCAGCTTGGCATTTTTGTGCTAATTTTTCCTCAAATGTCATTGGAAAATCTAGGCGTTGCAAGATAAGTCAGTGTATTATCTCTGAAATCAATTTAGGTTGACATTACTTCCATTTATGCATTTATATTATAGTTTAGTTTAAATGTGTGCCTTTCCTAGAAGTACAGTATTTCTATACCATGTCTGTGGGAAGGGGAAATGCGTTTTTAATTAGTTTATTTTTGTCACCAGGAAGGTGTATGTTCACAGAAACAGGCTTAGCTCTTTGTGTTTTCCGACAGTGTAGTCTTCCATCTACAAGTACTCTTATTTTCTGGCTAGGGAAGTAGTTCTGATCTTGATTGCTTCTGATTGACTCCTCTGTGCCTGAAGAATAGGGATTTTTTTATTTTTATTTTTAAAAGCAACAGTTGACAATATGGATGTTTCAAAATTTTCTGTGTATCTTTTGCTTTGTTACCACTTTGAAGGTATTTTTTGTTTAGGAGTTGGTGTTTTTGCTGTGTTTCAGGTAAGCTTCCTAGGTTTGTGTTTTCTCTTCAACAACAGTCGGCTAGTCCTGCTCAATACCTGGTTTAACCTGTCCTAAATAATGTTTGGGTGGTTCACAGTTTAAATGGACCTTACCAATAAACAGTCATTCATCAGAAATGCAAAGAAATAATTAAAAATATTTTTTCCAACATGCAGCATAGTTTGTGGGTTGATGTATCTGTCACTGTGGACCAGAATTTTTCTAAGAAATCACTGGGGTTTTTTCCAAGTAGGTAAAATGCCAGAAAGTTCAGAGAAAGTTCTGAGACCCCACACAAGCCGGTGTCACTTGTGTATGGAAAGTATCAGCTCGACAAGATTTAGTGCATGGAGAAATTTAACAAAAGAAGTTTCCTTATCATTGTACTGCAAAGAATTGTTAACTGGGACTTCATATGCTAGCATATGGACATCTGTTCATTTCCTCCCCTGCCTGGTATAGTTGTGTCTAAACTGGCAAGGTTTACTACTACACCCTAGGCATTTTGGATTTGCCTCTGATATTTCTGTAAGTTTGATTAAGCTCAAGTATAGTTTACTGCCAGACTATGTCTGGATAGAGTTTTATATTCTATTTGTAAAACGTAAAGTAGGACTGTGGGCTGATGATGATGTGAAATGTTTCTGCATCTAAACATGGATACAGTTTATAAGAATATAGGTAGAAGTAATGACTTTCTCTCCCAAGAAATCTGACTTCACATAGGAACCTCCATTTTGGGGAAAGAGACAAACAGTTAACAGATCAAAATGAGTCTTTTGAGTCCTTTATACCTTCTCAACAACACTACAATTTTATTTTGTTGTTTAAGCATTTACAGTTGTGATTATCTGTTGTCAAAGCCTCCACAATTCTGGACTTTCCCAAAAGGAATAAGTACCCAAAGTCTTTTCTGCTTCACTTCTCTTAGGTCATTGATTTGCTCAGCTTTTTCCATCTTATAGTATATCTTACAGTTTAAAAAAAGTTGTTCCGTATATTTATATGTATAAATGCTTCAGATGTAGTTACAGTATCAGTCTAATTTTTAAAAAGCCAGTAATGCATATAATAGAATAAATATAATACTTAACTTGAAACTGTAGATCTCTTTTAAGTCTTCTAATTTAATTGGTTTGTTCCAGATCCTAGAACAGTAAAACTAATCATATTGCAGGAACGGGAACTGCAGAGACAACAAAACATAAGTCTTTGCATTAATCCTGTCAATTCTTTTAGGTAAGAACCAGAACAGTTGCTGAGTGTGTGGCTTTCTATTACATGTGGAAAAAGTCAGAACGTTATGATTACTTTGCTCAGCAAACAAGATTTGGAAAGAAGAGATACAACCATCATCCAGGAGTTACGTAAGTAAAACGTTCTTGGAATGGGTTTTCTGTTGCAAATTGTAAATGTAGAAGATTTTTTATTTTTTTTTTCCCCTTCTGTTATTGCAGTGTAATGCTGCAGTGGCTATGGCAACTGAAATTAAATCCATCATCATTTTTAGGCCTTGTTTTCCAGTTAAATAATATATTATGGATGTAATATTCTTTAGGGACTACATGGATCGTTTGGTAGATGAAGCAGAAGCCCTTGGTGGAGCAGTGCACCCTTCAGCCTTAACATCTAACAGTCGAACAGAAACCATACCTGACCAACAGCTAAGCATTCTGAACTCTATCACTGCCAATGAGTTGACAGGTAAATCAAGAGAAAAAAAAATCTTTTTGTTGTCACTATGCAAACTGTTACTTCATTTGCCTTTGTGTTCTTTTTTCAGCATTGACAAATAGTGTAGCTACAGTCTGCCACACTTCAGACGTGAACTGCTTGGATGACACCTTTCCTCCTATGGACAGCTTACCCCGAGCACCAGTTAATCATGTGCCTGTTGGAACAGAAGAATTGCTTAACTTGCCTAGCAATGGTGAAAGTGATTGTTTTAATTTATTTGAGACTGGCTTTTATCATTCAGAGCTAAACCCAATGAACATGTGCAGTGAGGAGACAGAAAGACCTGCAAAGAGATTGAAAATGGGAATTGCTGTCCCAGAATCTTTCATGAATGATGTCTCTGTAAATAGCCTTGGTGTGGACTTTGAGAACCACACACACCATATTACCAGTGCCAAAATGGCTGTTTCAGTGGCCGACTTCAGCAGTCTATCTGCAAACGAGACGAATGGTTTTATCAATACCCACACTCTTCACCAACATGCTGCCCTTCACTCAGAATGACTGTGGGAAACTAAACAAACAGTGGGTACTTTATGCAGTAGTAGTAAACTTGATGGGAGCTATCAGGTTTGCTTAGTCTTTCACTGGAAGTTTGAACTTTATGACATCAGTGATGTCTTTGTATGTATAGAACTATATCTTGATTTATCAAGAGTAATTTCTTTTGCAGTCCATAAATGTGGAAATGTCATAGGAGGTTTGGCAGAGTTTGGGACTAAGAGAACTCTGTGGTGCAGCTTTAAGCTCTGCTTCTTTCTTTTTTTTTTTTTTTAAGCCTGTAGACAGAGGCCACCATTTCAAAACCAGCACAGAAGCTCTCAACAGATTGGAGTGGCTTTTTAGTCTAAGTTACTTTTGCCGTAACGGATGCAGTGGAATAACAATGTTTACAGGTACCGATCCTGATCCCTGCTCAATGTAGCATTTTTTTTTTTTTCCTTATAAAGGCAGGGATGGGTTTCTTTAATTTAAACTGCACAAACATACAAGGATGTTTTTTTAAATGGAACCTTCTCTCATGTGATACTAAACTAGAGCACTTCAGTTTACAAAACAGCAAGTTCATCTTGGTGAAAGCTAGCACAAGGGACTTAACATGAGTAAAGTGTGAAGACCTACACTTCAATGCTGTTGCAAAATTATAGGCCATGGCTACCTTACACAGAAGTAATTACGCTGCCATAGGTGTCTGTGTACTTTAAACTTACTTACTGGCTTAAACAGATGCGTTTTAGGCTATATTGTATTTGGATGGGTTTTGTCCACGACTTTGGAGAGTAATGTAATCATGTACCTTAACTTTCCTAAGGCAGCTGATGTTGTATAAAGCTACAGTCTTCACAGCTTAGGATTTACCACTAAGCAAACAGTCTACAGGTGGAAGGTATCTTAAATTGTCTGGAGCACTGCAGTTCAAAGTGTTACATTTTTGCGGGACTGTCTAGTTTATATAGGAACAGTAGAACCTTGAAGTATGCATTTGGAAGTTTTTCGTTAGTGTGGATTGCATTTATTTGTTTTGGCCAGTCATTGGCTCAAAAATGGCACTTCACTACCTTGATCAACTAGGAAAGGATGAGAAAAAAGGTTTCCCATAAAAGCAACTATTTAACTTCAGTATTTTTTTTTTTTTTTTTCAGCATTGAGTGCAATTTAGCCATCCAGGAAGTTTGTTTGTCTTGCAAACATTTGTTCTAATTCTTGTGGGAGAGTCAAACCAAACATAGTGTTGTCTTGTAACGTGTTGTTGCAGCCTACAGCTTGCAGGGTTTTTAATGATAATCTGAACCTTACTTCAGTAGGATTACCCCTTTCCCTCCATACTTTTTCTTTGCACTGTTTGTATTACAAATTTAATTGCCACTAATTTGTTTTCATTATTCAAGTGATTAAGTTTGTGTTGTTGATATTTGTAATAGTTGCTTCAAGGTTATGCTGAGTAATTAGAAAGTAGTGACTTTAATATTTGAAAGGGAAGAGGGTATTTATTATGCGTACTGTGAACTGCATTGACATCCTGAGTTTTGGATACAGTGTACTGAGTTTTCTTTACAGCATTGTAATGAAGATTGCTTTGAAGTGTTTATGCAATAGCACACTTACCATATTAAAACCAAATTAGTTTAGCACAGTGGACAAAAGTAGAGATGATTTTGTAATCAGTTCTTAACTTACACATCTGAAATATGTAACTTTAGTAAGTACACAGTAAGTAACGGGTAGCCTTGGCCCTGTGTTGTACTCTGACATTTTTAGCCAAGTTGTCAGCGTCTTGTTCCTGTGTTTTGTGCTGAACTTTGTACCTTGTTTCTTTTGTTTATGAATCAACACATTTTATGTAATTTTGTAAAATACTGGCCATAATCCTCCATTGTTATACATTCAAGTTCATCTATGGGTTTACAGTGAGTGGCTGGTCTGTATAAAGAAAATGATTATACAAAGATGACTGAATGCTTATACCAGTTGCACTTAAATGAACATGCCCATTCTCTTTAGCTGATGCAGTAATATATTCAGTTTATCTATGCATTGCTGGGCTCTTAATGTAGACAGAGGCCTGTCTGAGGTTTGGGTTGTCAGCAAGTTGAATGGACACTTTAGTTATTTAATAAAGACTTTTGACCAAAATTGAGAAACTGATATGAGAGAAAAATTAATTCCGGCTAGTCTAATAGATTTTTAAATGCTGATCTTATTTAGCCTGTTGGCTGACTAGCTGGTATCGTTTACTTTCCTTAACTCCTTGTTAAAATGAGGCAATAATTTGCAAGATTTTGTAAATATGTAAATTCTTCATATCTTTTTAGATATCTATTTCAATATTTTCTGACTACTTCTGTGTATAGTAACATTTTTGTGCATGCTTGATGTGACATTCATAAATTTGTACCACTATGACTTTATCCATGTAAAATAGCTATTTATTGAACTTTTCTTTTAAAAGCTGGACTTACTTATTTTTCTCTCAGTTTAAACATTTAAATGGAGAACTTGTTACTGTTTATTAAAAGAATTGCGTTTTGAAAGTCAGCATGAAGATAACTGAATTGCAACCATATGAAGAAATTACTTTGCCTTGGTTCTTGGGTGGTGAAGCACAATTCTTATAACAAACCGTGATGAATTCTTTGTCCTTTGCCACACTTTTTTTTCATAGAAACAAACCAAAAAATCCATAATGGGCAATTGCAGTGTTGGTAAATGTATCCTTTTTATGTACAGGGACTCTGAAGAGGGTAGCTGATTCATTTAGCAGTGTAACTGGTGCTGTGATTATAGCAATACTTTCATTTTGGTTAGTCATACATCATCTTCTCATGGTAGGTTTTGAAATGTTTAGTTTTCCTCTTGTCATGGTCAAACTGCTGAATTTACTTGAAGGATGTACAATACTGTTTGAAGAATACTAAATTGTGTACAATTAGGTCAATGAATTGTGCAAATGTTTCCTGGTTTTAGTTTTTAAAGCTGAGGGTCAAAAAATATAGGAAAACTTCAGATCAAGTAGAACATAGTGATACTACTTAATTTAACCAAAGTCTAGTGAATATTTCAACTTTGAATGTAAACTAATGGATAAACTGACCAACAGGGGACACTATTTGCCCAGCGTTACAAGCACATTTTCTACAGACAGGGAAACTAAATACAGTAATTTATAAAATAATGACAAGGTTACTATTTTTTTTATTCCTATTTTTCATTGAAAGAAGAAAGAAGATACTGTTAATTGTAAAATACAATAGGAATGGTTGTAGTCCTCAAATGAAACAGAGATTCCACTTATTCTCAGTTCAAAGTAAGTACCCTGTGCATAACAAATAATCTAGTGACAATCGGATCATGTTTTAGTATCAGATGTTCAAGAGGAAGTCGCTATTGTTGCATTGGTTTTAATATTTGTACATAAACACTGGTTTTTTTGAGCATCATTTTGTATTTGTTGTACTTTAATACCTGGTGTACAGTTCCAGAAATAAATGTCTGGAAACCTTTCTTTACTTGTAAAACTTTTCATACATCTGCACTGTGTTTGCTACTTCATTTCAGAAATACTTAGCAGTAACTTTGAACACATGTTAAGAACTCTGAGTACCGCTAAAGTGCATGCTTCCACGCTACCTAACGTGACATAGAGAAGAGTGAAAAATGCAGCAAAGCAGGTAAAATAGTAAGTAACAATTTCCCTCAAATGTTAAAACATTATGGCTTAGGTATAGCAAAGTCTTAGATGGGACTTAAACGTAGCTTCAGAGTAACGCCATGCAGCTCTGTAACCTGGTATTCAAACTAGATGGTAGGCTGTGGGGGACACATTCCTGTTCTTTGGTGTCAGAAAACTTGCCCAAATCCTTAAATCAATGTCAGGCTAGACTATGGGTGTGAATACAAAAATTTTACTCTGCTTAGGCCTTAATGCTGAAGTTAAACTATGCTTTTTGTTTTCATTTTCCTTTCCCTCAAGAAAATGAACTCTAATCTTGGACCCTGAAAAGCACTGTGTTTTAAGATCTTACGTACCAATTCTGTTGAAGTCCAGAATTGTTTAGTGCTGTGCTTTCCTAGGCCTGGCATGCTTGTTTCTGCAATGGCTAGCAAAATGAAGCTCTGGGTAAATAAATAATCTTTTTTTTTAATTACATAGGAGTGCAAGCTGATATAATTTTGAACAGCAAAAGTTGTAATTTGCCAAGTAAAATAATAAGCTTTGCTTTCCCTGATGAAGAGATGCAAGATAAGTGTCTTTGTAATGATGGTTTATAGAAGGTTCAAAACAAAATCCCTATCCAAAACTCTTTGGTTACAAGGTGCACCTCCCTTTTTTAAGTTGCTTAGCATAAAGGTCAAAGTTAGGACAAATCATAATGACAGACCCCATCTAGCCCTTTCTTGTATTGATGCGACTAATTGTTAAGACTTACAACGCTGGAGTCTTAAAAATGGGTTCAATTAGTATAAGTGTATATAGTGTAAGCCTCTTCCCCCCAACTCAGTAGTTAATTTTGACTACTCACATTTCCATTAAAGTGAGCGCAGGACACATCTGCTTCTGCCGCTAAAAGGATAAGCAGCTGCTGAAGTCCTTATGGTGCTTGCCTGTTCTGTGTCATACGTCCTTGTTTTGTCCACAAAATGTGAGGCAGCAAAGACTAGAAGCATAAACCCCAGCAATCAGTTTGCTAGAACACTTTTTACTAGTTCTTGGATTTCTTTTCCCTCTCTGCAGGGGAAAGTAATTTACAGCTCAGAGCAAATCTTGGCCCTCTGGTACGAGGGGAGGCCAGGATTCCTCAGCAGAAACATGGTGTCCTGCTGCCTTCATGCTGTGCTGAAGTCGTGGGCTTCCTCCTGCCCTGCAGGCTGGCTGATTGTCGCCACCCACCCCTTCGCCTTGGCGCTGGCACACATCTGCCTGCTGTGCAAACAGCTTTGGCGCAGCTCATTAACTTGGCCCAAGAGCATGGCCCCCTTTTGCTGCAGTTACTGACTCGGTTTTTTGTGTTGCCAGGTGAGCTCCAGAACTAGCACAAGGAAGGAGCATGCAGCCATGGAGCAGAGCAGCATGGCAGGCAGTGAGGTAAGTACCACATCACCTTTGTACACAAAATAAAATTGTCTTAAACCACAGCTTCTTAAGAGCCAGTGAGTCAAATTAGCAACTTGCAGCCACCACCTGTGGGATTCTGCTGGCTGGCTCCCTCTGGTGTTTCAGCTCACTGCCATAGCAGAAAACAAAACCAGCAAGAAAGCCTGGAGTTTGTGGTG